AGACACTATATCTTTTGATAGCCGGGCACCATCAGCTTTCTTCACCACATTTGCTTATGCACCCGCTTTGTCTTCAGGGATCATGTTGGGAAGGTGAGCATTATGGAATGCCAGTTTCATAGAACAAAGTGTTCTTGCATTGAGGGAGTACTTGAGTAGAGACCCAATATCCATCTGCTACCTTAATACTAAACTTATAAATATATGCACATAGATCTATTTCCCCATCATCATATATATTTACATATGTACATGCCTGTATTTAGACCTCTAAACATACCCTTTGTCGCATAGTTCTTTCTTCTATTTCCTTTTACTTTCCTCTTGTTCCACTGACATGCTCAGCCTTCATTTGGGTTTCAGTAATTCCTCTTGGTTACCTTGCCCTTGATCAAGCCCTACCAGGCCTACAACCTCCTTGCCATCGATTTTGGACCACTTGCTGTTCCCTTGTCCCTAGGGTTGTTAATATCCACTTCTTTTACCCTGCCCCCCACCCCCCCATGTCTCCTGCCAACTGTATGTCCTATGGTTTTCTCCTCCAGATTGTTATCTCCTCCAGAGATAGTAATACAAACAAAAAAACAAGACACAGCAAAACAAAGCAACAAAAGAAAACAAACAACAAGAAAAACCAATGACAAGAAAAAGAAAAGCCTGGAAATAGTTCAAGGTCTGTTTGTAGAGTCCAAATTAAAGTCCTCATTATCGCAACTTTCTTTCTTGCCTTCAACCTAATCAGTCTGCACCACCTATCACCTGTAGATCAGAGAGTTAAATCTGTCCTACACTTCTCCGGTAGAATGGAATGCTTCCTTACTGTATAGAGGCTGAATACAAAGCTTAAAAGATCTCACATTGGTTGGAATTAAATAAAAACAAAGACATAATTTACTTCTCTTTCCGTAATATGAGGTAGTAGTATTTAAAGCTTCCTTATACTCATATAGCAGTCTAAAAGATGTAATTTCTAAAACCCTGCTGAAGTTCATAGGAACCTACACTACTACTAATTTTTTTTATAATTCATTTTCAGCAGGAAAAAATATGAAGGCTTAGGTTTCCATGATGACAGTTTGTGGGGAAATGGAACTAGATTTTTTGTGTGAAATCCTTTCATACAACTTAGTGTGCACTCTTACAGTCCAAGTTTAGCTGATATTTTCCTCACATCCATCAACCTTAAGAAACCAGACAAAAAAAAAAAAAAAGAAACCAGACAACAGTTCTTCCAACAGTGATTTCTGTTTTAAATAACTTATTTTGAATAGCTCTTATCTAGAATTAGGAAACCCTTACCATGGTTTAACAAGTTACATGATAGCAGTCCAAACCAAACAGTTGCTCCAAAAGACAAAAATGAGACTGCGTTTTTCTCATAAAGATTTATTACAGTCTCAGAAACCCAAAGGGACAGCTCTACTCTGTA